GTGCTAGTTCTTCCTAACTCTAGGGGGGGGTGTTCATCTCCATTACAAAGCCAAAGAGCCAGCGCTGACCAAAGACGTCTCCGTGGTCATGTGGCCAGTCATGTCTAGACACCGAAGGCTCACGGAACACTGTTACTTTCCCACCAAAGGTGGTTCCTATTTTTCTACTTGCATTTTTACATGCTTTCGAACTGCTAGGTTGGCAGAAGCTGGGATAAGTAACGGGAGCTCACTCCGTTATGCAGCGCTAGGGATTCGAACCACCGACCTTTCTGGTTGTATTCAAATCAAAATTGCATTTTATAAATACTGTTGTTTTCAATTGATCTGACCGCACAGGTTAGTCCTCGATTAATGAATGCTTCATTTCAGTGATCGTTCAAACTTAACCACAGTGCTGGGGGAAAAAAAAAAACTTTACAATTAACGATTGCCGTTACAGCCAGTGTGCATTGTCCTGTGTGTGATCTGTTCCCCCCCACTCCTTGCAGAGAGATGGGAGAGAAAGGGATTGCAAGAGACTAAACATACACCCAATAGAGAATTCATCTGGCTGTTGGCTTGTGCTGCTGGTGCATTCCAAAGGGCAGGGGAGTGGTTAATAGACTGAAGAAAAGCAGAACTGACTAGTTTTGTCCATTTTGAGCAGGAAAGCAGTTGTTTCAAGATGGAATTCCGTGTCCCAGCTGTGCTCCTTAAACAAAGACTAACTTAGTATAAACACTCTACCCATACTTCTGGAATCCCTTTGGAGGGAATTCTGGCTAAGGGGTATATGTTAACCTACCAATTGGGTGGGTAGCTCATCCAGACTGGCATATTTGACTTCCCCTCCAAAAGCACAGTTTTAATCCTTTCTTCACCCGTTCTCTCTTTTTGAGGAAGGACCAGAAAGTGAATAATAGTTATTCCTTAAGAAGGAGCAATTCGGTTAACCTGGATGAAGTTAATGCTGCTCATTGGTTTCTTTGCAAATGGTACAGATTAAAAGATGCAGCAAAACTAGGATTAGTAAGGCACTGTCCTTTTACTGCATAAAACCAAAAACTATGCAAATCCTTCAGATTCTAGAGTTACCGTATTTTTCGGAGTATAAGACACACCTCCCCCCCAAAAAAGAGCGTGGAAATGTTGGTGCGTCTTATACACCGAATACAGCCATTTTTGGCCTCAAGAAATCCTGCCCCCGCATCCCATTTTTGCAAAAAACGGGCCTTCCCCCAGCCCCCAGAAGTACTCTGCAGGCTTCAGCAGGGCTGGGAGAAGGCAAAAATTTTCTGCAAAAATGGGGGCGTTTTTGCCTTCCCCCCAGCCCTGCTGAAGCCTGCAGAATGGTTCTGGGGGCCAGAGAGGACAAAAACATTTTTTTCTTACTTACCTCTTCAAAATCTTGGTGCGTCTTATATAGTGGTGCGTCTTATCATCCAGAAAATACGGTAACATATAAAACCAAGAAGTCCCTGATCTTGGTCTCTGTTTACTTATATAATCATTCTTTGTGATCGTTCTCTGATCATCTTATCTATGTGTAAGCAATTGGGATTTTGGAACCTCACCACAACGATTCCTCAAAGAGCAAGCAAATATTAGGGGTGGTAAGAATAAGGATTCCTTGGATAAGAGCTTGCTGATTTAAGAACCTTGATTCCAGCCAGTTCTGGTCAGCCCGGTAAGTCTTTGCTCATCTCAACTTAGGGAAAGGTTCGTTCCAAGAACAGGACTTACGTTTCCTGCTGCAATGCCAGTCGTCTGCGCTGCAAGAGCTGTCGATTTCTTCGCATTCTTGAACCCCATGTAGCCACAGGTTAGGAGGACCACGGGTACTTTCTCAGCTGTGAAAACCTGGATGTGAGTGCTACAGATGTCGTGGGATGATAGGAACAACGTTTGGTTAGAAATCCACATGCTGTGCTATTTTTTTGGATTCCCTGCAAATCTGTCTGAAAAAACAACAACAACTAGTAATTTAACGCGGCTCTTGCATTCTCGTTCTCCCACAAGGAGGAAGCAAGTGGGTGAACTAGGATGCAAAAAATAAACAGAATCGCTGCCAGTTTTGAGACACAAGGCTTGTCCCAAAATGGACTAAAAAATAGGATAATTCTCCCCAACTGGCTGCCCTCCAGATGTGCTCAGACTGCAATTTTTAGCAGGTCCAGTCCGTATGTTCGCTGAGCTCCGGTTCCAACGTCTTTGGTGGGTACCAGGTTGGAAACGGTCTGTTTTGAGACATTGAACCATTTGGAAGGATGCAATTAATCCTCTAAGTTGTGCGGGGAGATGGAACGTGTGTCTTTCTTTCTCTGTCACTTTCAGACCTTTTCCTTGACAATTATTACTGAAAATTACTCAAATTAGTGCTCACCATTCTAAGGAAAATAACACGAAGACTGTAGCATTATGTCAGTCTTACCAGGCAGAGCAGAGAGAAAACATGATCGGATCAGTTGCCCTTTACTGTAAAGTTAATTCATGCATTAATATATCTCACAAGTCTGAAAGTGCACATCTCCTGCTATCTCCTTTACAGCCCAGGAAAGTAGGGAGGGGCGTTTTCTGAGCTTCTCACCCTGTTCACTATCCAGCTGCAGAATATACTGTCTGTTAGCAATAGCACTTAGACTTATATACCGCTTTGCAGTGCTTTACAGCTGTCTCTAAGCATTTTACAGAATCGGCCTATTGCCCCCAACAATCTGGGTCCTCGTTTTACCCACCTGGGAAGGATGGAAGGCTGAGTCAACCTTGAGCCTGGTGAGATCTGAATTGCCAAATTTCAGGCAGTCGGCAGTCAGTAGAAGTAGCCTGCAGTACTGCACTCTAACCACTGCGCCACC